TAATGGTCTCAAGTTCCATTGAAATTGCTACAAAAGACATTAACTCATTTCTTTTTATGGCTTTATATATATAACATGAAGTATACAAGGGCTGTTTGGAAAGTATCCAGCCATGTAACTGTTCTCATTGTATTAACAATAGCTGGATACTTTCCACACAGCCCTCATATATTTATATGCCTATATATATATATATATATACACACACACACACATATATATGTATGTACATAAACACACACATATGTATACACACACACACACATACACACACCACATTTTGTTAATTCACTCATGAATTGATGGGTACTTAGGTTGAGTCCACATCTCTGCAACTGTGAATTATGCCACAATGAACATTAGAGTGCAGGTGTCTTTTTGATAAAGTGACTTCTTTTCCTTTGGATAGATACCCAGTAGTGGAATTGCTGAATCGAATCATAGGTCTACTTTTCATTCTTTGCAGAATCTCCATACTGTTTTCCATATAGGTTATATTAATTTTCAGTAGTAGGAACAGTATATAAGCATTCCTTTCTTTCTGCATCCATGCCAACATCTATTGTTTTTCAACTTTTTAATAATAGCCATTCTGATAGGGGTAAGGTGATAGCTCATTGTGGTTTTAACTTGCATTTCCCTGATGATTAGTGATGTTGAGCATTTTTTCACATATTTGTTGGCCATTTGTCTATCTTCTTTTGAGAAGCTTCTGTTCATGTCTTCTGCCCATTTTTTAATGGGATTGTTTGATTTTCTTCTTGCTGATTTGTCTGACTTCTTTGTAGATTCTGAATATTAGCCTTTTATCAGTTGTATAATGTGCAAGTATTTGCTTATATTGTTTATTTGCTCTATTGATTATTTCTTTTGTGGCGCAAACCTTTTTAATTTAATCAATTCACATTTATTTATTTCTGTAGTTGCTATAATTGTCGTTAGGGTCTTACTCATAAATTCTTTTCCTAGGGCAATATCTAGAAGAGTTTTTCCTACATTTTCTTCTAGATTTTTTGTGGTTTCATGCCTTATATTTAAGTCTTTTATCCATTTGAATTAATTTTTGTGAGTGGTGAGAGATAGGGGTCCTATTTTATTCTTCTGCACATGGCTATCCAATTTTCTCAGCACCATTTATTGACTAGGGCTTCTTTTCCCCAGTATGTGTTGTTGTCTACTTTGTTAAAAATCAGTTGGTTGTAGTTGGCTTAATATCTGGATTCTCTATTCTGTTTCATTGGTCTATGTCTCTACTTTTGTACCAATACCATGCTGCTTTGGTTATTATAGCCTTGGAGTATAATTTGAAGTCTGTTAATGTGATGCTTCCAGATGTGTTTTTTTTTGTTTTCTTTTTTTTTCCTTAACATTGCTTTGCCTATTTGGGGTCTTTTATAGTTCCAAACAAAGCATAGAATTATTATTATTTTTTGGATCTGTGAAATATGATGTTAGTATTTCGATGGAGATTGAATTGAATCTGTAAATCACTTTATATTAACAATTGATTATAACAGTATAAACATTTTATTAATAACAATGTTGATTTTGCCAATCCATGAGCATGATATGTTTTTTCCATTTGTGTCATATGCAATTTCTTTCTTCAGTATTTCATAGCTGTTCTTGTAGATAGCTTTCACCTCCTTAGTTAAGTATATTCATAAGTATTTATTTTTGTATTATAGCTATAAATGTCTTAATTAGAGGGGAAAAGTCTCAAAATTATTTATCCAGCATTCAATCCAAAAAGTTAGAGACAGAAAAATAATAAAAGCAAAAAAAGTAGAATGAAGGAAACAATAAGGCCAGAAATTAATCAAACAAAAATCAAATATATTCAAATGCTGGTCTTTTGGAAAGACTAAAAAAATGGACTTATTTCTGAAAAAATAGTAAAAAAAAAATGAAAGACACTACACAACTAGCAGTATCAGTGGAAAGAAAACTGGGGATATAACTGCAGAAGCAGAAATTCAAAATAATATAAATGAGTAAATTTCTTCCAATGCATTTAAAAATACAAAAAAAATTGTAATGTTATAGAAATATGTAAATTATAGAAATTACTCAAAGAGAGAAAAAGAAAGCCATAACTATTAATTAAATGTAATAACATTACAAATATTCCCAAGCACATACACACCAAAATAATGTCACCAGGACCTAATGTTTTCCTTCTTTCTTTTTAAATTTTTGATTGTTATGGGTACATAATATTTGTATATATTTATAGGGTACATGTGATGTTTTGATACAGGCATACAATGTAAATTAATCCAATCAGGGTAATTGGGGTGTCCATCACCTCAGACATTTATCATTTCTTTGCATTGGGAATATTCCAATTCCACTCTTTTTGTTAGAGTATATGCTAACATATTGTTGATTATAGTCACTTTGTTGTGATATCAAATATTGTTCATTCTATTTAATTATCTAAATATGTCTTTCATATATGGCTTGTATTGTGTTGAGGTAAGGTTGTTCTATACCCAGTTCTTTGAGAGTTTTTTTTTTTATCATGAAATGATGTTGAATTTTATCAAAAGCTTTTTCAGCATCAATTCAAATGATCATATTGTTTTTGTCCTTCATTCTGTTGGTATGATGTATCACATTGAGGGATTTGTGTATGTTGAACCATCCTTGCATCCCTGGGATGAATCTCACTTGATTATGATGAATAATCTTCTTAATGTGTTGTTGAATTCAGTTTGCTAGTATTTTCTTCAGGATTTTGCATCTATGTTCATCAGAGATATTGGCCTATAGTTTTCTTTTTTTATTGTGTCTTTGTCTGGTTTTGATACTGAGGTGATACAGGCCTTGTAGAATGAGTTTGGTAGTATTCCTTCCTCCACGATTTTTTGGAATAGTTTAAGTAGGATTGGTATTAGTTCTTCTTTGAATGCTTGGTTGAATTCAGCAGTGAAGCCATCAGGTCTTTGGCTTTTCTTAGATGGGGAAATTTTTATTACTGCTTCTATCTTGCTACTTGTTATTGCTTTAGTCAGGTTTTGGATTTATTCCTGATTCAATCCTGGTAGGCTGTATGTGTCTAGAAATTTATCCATTTCTCCTGTGTTTTCCAATTTATTGGCATATAGTTGTTTATAGAAGTCTCTAATGATCCCTTGATTTTCTGCAGTATCAGTTATAAAGTAAAAAAGATAAATTATCAATTTAATAAAAGCATAGAAGTCATTCTATACCAATTCATGAGAAACAAAATAAATTATAGTAAACTCAAAACAGAAATTTAATGCAGGTCATCTTCTAAAAACTTACAGCAAGCATGATGAAATATCAGAAGCATTTTCATTAAATTTGGGAATAAGTAAATACATTCATTATCATTGCTAACATTCACATATTAATAGTTTTGGAGAATCTGAAGAGCCCAGACAGTGTAATAAGGTAAGAAAAATTAGCACTTGGAAAGAAGGAGATAAAGGTGTCAGTCATTATTTTCTGCTCACAATAGTAGAAATTTAAAAAAATCATACAAATTAGTGCAATAAGGAAATTCTGCAAACTTGTTTTATAGAATATCAACATGAAAAAATATGCAGTATTTTAACATAATAGCAATACATAATGAGAAGTATATTTAAAAAACCATCATATACAAAAATATATGAGGTATCTAATAATGAACACAGCAAAAATATATATAAGACACTTTTAGGGAAAAATATAAAACCTTGGTAAGAAACACAAACTAAAAGTTCAATAAATACCGACGTATACTATACACACAGAAGCAAAGGTTTGCTATGGTAAGGCCCTTAATTGTGAAACACTTACAGATTTCCATTTGAGATTCAGACTAAGACAAAGATCACGCAGTTTAACCTTTATGAAATATTGTACTGGAAGTCTTGACCTAGGCATTAAAGATACAGTAATGAATGAAAGTTAGAAGGATTGTAAAGGAAGAAACAAAGCTGCTTTTATTTGCAGATGATATGATTGTATACACAGAAACTCTAAAGAATCAATTAATAAAATCAGAATGTGTAAGAGAATTGTGCAAGATTGCTGGAGGCAGTGCACACATACGCTTGCAAAAGTAATTACATTCCTCTATACCAAGAACAAATGAAATTTCAGATGATGAAATTTAAAATTGCTGCACACCTATTTCCCTTGATAAACATGGTCAGTCCTCCAAACAATATGATGCCTCCCTTTTCAGTCTTTATGTGGATTAATTTTATATCCTCAAATATTTCCCTACATGGCAGCCATAATGCTTTCCCTATGTGAATTTTCAATTTAAACATCTACTATTCATAATCTGGTTGTTCAACTGAAGTATATCTTAATTTAAATTATGCACAAAAAATAATCTGAAAAACTCACTTCATTTTATGACTTGGCTCTGTAGATGTTGAAGGTGGGGGTAGAGAGGGGCTTTAGCTATTGGTTAAAAACAGAACAGTTCTGGCAGAGGCCTGAGCTTCGAAAGATGGTGTAAGTGGATAAAATGGTTGACTGAGCAAGGACAATGACTTTTCCAATACCACTCACTCATATCTATAGTACAGTACCTATATTTGGATATGGAGAGGGAAATATTGATTTGTCCAAACAATAACAAGTCTAATACAGACTTCATGTCTGGTTGCAGTATAAAATTTTCATTCCAACATTTCTCCAGAGTAGTAAATGTGCCCCATTCGTAAACATGATGTCTGGACAAGGATTGGATAAATGATTCAGTACAAATAACACAATGCTCTCCTGAATGTTTCTGGTTAAATATCAAACCTATCTATGGGCCCTTAACTGTCCAAGGAAGCAGAGTGAATGGTCCTCCACCAGCCCCTAGCAGAGCTGGAAAAACTATGCCGTCAGCCAGAGTGTTGGGCTAAGGCCTGGAGAAGGTAGCTCAGACTTTAGGAAAGTCCTTGGGTAGGTGGTGTTGGGGGCGGTGCAGCTGCTGACATAGGACTGGGGTGCAAGGTGGAGATTATGTGGAGCTCAGGGTATCTCTATTCGGAATAAGGTGAAGTCCGGGCCTGAAGTGAGACAGGGGCTGGTCTGTCTTGTGTACCAGGTGCAGCCACAAGCAAGATTTTCAGTGTGGCGTAGGGCAGGTTTGAATCACTGTGCAGCCAGGTGGCACAATAATACACACCAGAGTCACGTGCTTTCAGATTTTGCAGTACCAATTTACAACTCCTCTCTGTACCTTCATAAGCATGGTATTTCCCTCGGCTGATTTTTGAATCCACCACAGCTTTGGAGGTGTAGAAGGAGTAGTGCAGAAGGTGTTGTGGGGCCTTGCTCTCCTGGTAGAGGTACCAGTGGATGTACTTGGTACTGCGTTAAATAATATCACAAGTGATAACAACAGCCGATCCGGTTGGCCTGATGATTGGCATCATTCTCCCTTCCAAGTTGGGTGATATCTGACTGGCTGCAATGGGAACAATGAATGTGGGATTCCTTAGGATGGCATCCCTTACACAAACAAAACAAACTCATTAGCATCTATCTATGCAACATACTTACCACGAGACAGAAAAGCTAGAATTAGAGGGAAAGCCCACTGCATGCTTTCCTCTTTGGATCTTAGACAGAAAGAACCATATGATAAAAGGAGCAGAATAGCCTCTCAAAACTCAGATCCTACTCAGAAGTGATCCCTAGGACAGAAGGCAGTGGATAGAAGCGGGTCTTCTTGACAAAGCCACAGGCAGAGAGAAGTGAATTCTGTAGAAGCCTCCCAAGCTGTTCAAGGGGTGGGTCCCTGGGACGACCTGCTCAAGTCACTTCAACAGCGCCCTCCTGCGGCAGCTGACAGCAGGCCCTCTGCAGGAGAGAAGGCAGGAGCATGGGGAGCTCAGGACTGCAGCAGGTGGAGGGCAGGTACAGCAGGAAGCTGACCCTGGATGCAGGGTGCCTGGGCCCTGTGGAGTGAGCAGTCCTGAATCAGGTCACTCCCATGCACTCCAGAGTTTCCATGTGTTACAGCTGCTGCCACAGGCTTGTCTTGTGCTGAGGCTTCTTTAGCATTGACCTGAATCACCTTCCTTTGTACATCTGTAAGTACACTTCCAGTCACCTCCAATTCTGAGAAAGCTTTAATCTGCTTGATTAAAAGAAATTAAGAACAGGTAAGTTGTTCTACATTTTACTGTAGTCAAAGGCAAATGGATGTTTTTGTGTTTGTGATGCAAACCACTTTGAGGATATCAGTTCTTCCTCAATTTAAATGGCCCCCACAAGTAGATTTGTGGGGGATTTGTTTTTAAAAAAACCATACATGGTTCCATGCCATGCAATATTTTGGACATGTTCATATTAAAAATTATGTTTTTTATCTGAATTTCCAATTTACCTGGGCATCCTATGTTTACTTTGGCAACCATACCTCAGAAAGTGCACTGATAACCTGTAATGCACTTGGATTGATAGATAGATAGATTAATAGGTGGCCAAACAAATACAGTAAAGTGATTGTAAAAATTAAAGTGATACTTATACAATTTCCCCCCCCACTATTTTAATAAATATGTTTGGATATATGTTTAAAATGCTCACAATAAGAAATAGAACAATTTCCCTCTTGGTTGTTGCTTTGGCCTCTCCCTGGTAATTCATTTTCTGCCATCATAACAGCTGGGAATGTGAAGGGTAGGGGACTCTGGTTGGTGTCCTTTCTGCCTCAGGGACCACATGTGCAGGGACATGAGGAAAGACCTTATCATCATGTTACCTCACCACTTGTTACCTTACCACTTATGGATAGAGATTTAGATGTAATAAAACTGAAAACAAAACAAAAAAAATTAGAATTTAACATTGATGAATTGCATTTAAGTTGCAAGTGACATTGGCCTGTCTGAGCCTGACATGACAAGCAGTGACCATAGGGAAAAATTGATAGGTTTAACTAAAAGCTATATTCAGACTTGTACTCACTAAAATGTGCTGAAAATAAACAACAGCAAATGCAGGGAAATCTTATCAACATATTAGGGAAAGTGTTACTATCTCTACAATAATATATAAGACTTCTTACAACCCGGTAAGAAAAATTAATACTCATATAGTAGAAAAGCCAAGGAATATGAAAAGATAATTCACAAAAGATGTAGTACAAATGGCCAATACACCTGTGAAAGAGTGCACTCCTTATTAGAGATAAGAAAATGCAAATTAACTTTAAAATCCTCCTTATTTTTTGAACACTGCTGGGGTTGAAATCTCTACCACTGCAAACTCTATGACCTTGGGAAAGTCAGTTAACCTCTCAATTTCTCATCTGTTAAATTTACTTATCCTTTGAACTCACAAAGTGTTTCTTGGAAGATTAAATGAGATAATATGTATAAAGTACTTACTTAGCACAGCAAGTATCAGATAATGAGTACCCATATTTACCATTCATTATAATTATTATTAATTACTATAGAATGATTCCAAATAAATTAATGACAAAACATTAAGTAATAAATAAGAATTTTAAAAGAAAGAATATTGATTTCCTTATGTATAATCTTGAAGTGTGGGCATGTTCTTAAGTAAAGTATGAAACCCAGAAGCCAGATTAAAATGTATGAAAACTGAATGCCTCAAGACAAAAATATAAATATGAATTTCACATAGTAATTCATATTATATACTGCACATATGGTGAACAAAATATTTATCTCTTTAAAAGTTAAAGACTTATTCTGAATAAGTAAGAATAATTGAAAAAATCAGTAAAAATAATAAAAATATTGTTACATGAATAGGTTGAGGGAGAAAAGAGGGAAGAGATATCTAGGATGGAAGCAAAAATCTCTAAATGACTTTCATTTCATAATTTTGACTTCAGATACATATAAATGTTTTACCTACACAAAACACACATAAAAAATAAAAAAGAATTAGTTTCAAAATTATAAAAATAGAAACTGAAAGAAATGAAGCTAACTATTAACATGTATCAAAAGTGATGTAAAATATAGAGAATTATTAATATCTCAAATGATTTTTTAAAACAGTATTTTGATTATATACCCTAAAACCAAAGAATGAAAGATAGAGAAAAAGAAAGAGAAAGAAATAAAATGAAGGAAGAAAGGGAGGGAGGGAGGGAGAAAGAAATCTTAAATTGCATCCTCTGGGCTGAGTGTTGTTAGTGGTGATGACGGTGTACTGTTTCTAGTTATAATTTAATGTATTCACGATGTTGATACTGTTAGGAAGCAAGGTTTCAGTATAAAACAAAAATGCAAATATAAAATTTTAAGTATCACAAAACCCTATGATCTATCATTTGAATTAGTTTTCTCTAAGAAATGCTTATTTCTTAGCTGTCCACTGACAAACCAGAATGTAATAACAATGCAGAATTAACAAGCACTCCTAGCATCGATGTTGGGGTCTATAAATACCATTTTTCACTAACAGTACTAGAGCTCAAATGAGAAATGGCTGAATCCAGCACTGGGGCATGCTATGCACAAGATAAACTATGGCAGCTGGTCCACCTGGCAGCAAAGAAACAACTGGAGACTGAGGTCATGCCAAACGACACAGGAGACAACTGCAGTGGCTCTCACTCATCATAGATAGGACATTCTGAGCACCAAAAGAATAATACCTACACACAAATTTTGAGGAACATTATATAAAAAAACACACAAGTTCGTTGATAGAACTCAAAATATAAGTCACCTCTGGAGGTTGCCAAAGCCCTATCTCATTGTTCTGAAAACAAAGAAAAAGAAAAAGAATCGAACATCTCCCTTGCCATTTCTGTACAAACTATATTGCAGGATACCAAAGAGCTTAAGAATGAAAGTTCTTTATGTTATTATCACAGCCAATAAGTTTTGGAGAAATACTAAAATTAGAAAATTACCACTATGTAACCCCAAGGATATAATGAATTTAGATAACACCATGAATTGCTTTATAGTTCTATCACTCACACTAGCTCTACTTCTCTCTCCACCATTGTTTCTCGATCTCCCCCTGCTTTCTCTACCACTCTGTATATCACTCTATCTCTCCATCTCTATGGCCATATTTCTTGTTGTTTTTCTTTTTCTATTGCTGTCCATCCCTTACATTTTTCCTTCTAGATCTCCCTTTTCAGGCTCTTTTTCTCCTTCTCTATTTTGCGTTCTCTCTCCTCTTTCTTATCATCTCTCTCCACATCTACATCTGTGTTTCTATCTCCCCACCTACACCTGTTTTTTTTCTCTCTATTCTACCTCTCTCATCTATTTCACTTTCCATCTCTGTCTTTCTTTCTCTCTTTCTGTCTCTTCATATTATGATCATAATAGCTACTTTAAAGACTTTGTGATTCCAAAACCTGTGCCTTCTCAGCATTGGCGTCTGCTGATTGGCTGTTCCTTTGGAGATATTGAGATTTTCCTGATTCTCCATTTACTGAGTAATTTTGGATTGTATCCTGCACAATCTGAATATTATGTTATAGGGCTCTATATAGGGCATTGTTTAAATACTATGCAGAATTTTTTTGTTAACAGGCAATTGCCCAGTTAGGTGTTACAAGTTCCTACCTACCTTTGGTGTATACTTCCAATCAGTCCTGTCTCTAAGCCTTTGCAGTACTATTCAGACCGGTCCTGTGTGTGCGCTGCTCAGTGGCCATTCCGGGACCTGAGCAGTGTCTGCTCCTACTGCAGTTTGCAAAGCCTTTCAAAGTTTGGTAGGCTGTTTGGGGTCTTATTTATACATGCACAGCTAGGGGGTGAACCCAGGAGTCCAAACACAATTGCATGAGATTTCTCTTAATCTCCCTCCTCTCTGCAGTCTCTACAATACTTTCCAATTCATGGGAGACCCCCTCTGGCCAGATAGGGTGGGCTTTAGTGTACTGCTGCGCTGTGCATTTCCCACAATTGTGTCTGCCTCCAGGGTCAAGCAGGGAGAGGATAAAGAGAGAACAAAAGCCACTACGATTCTCTCTCAGGCCCACAGCTTCTTTGGTCAGAGAAAAGGTTCCCTTTTCTCAGAGTTCTAGGCTCCTGGCTCTTCATGGCTCCTGTCACTGCCACTGGGACTTCCTGGGGCTGAGAAAGAATGAAGAAAGACAAGAAAAGCACAAACCCTAGAAAACCAGGGCTGTCCGACTGCAGAGAGTTCCCCTTTCTCCATGTCCTCACCTGCTGCACAGTTCTGTATTTCTGGTTGCCTTTGAGTCCAAGCCAGGGGATACTTGAGGGAAAATAAATGAGAAACTTATGTGAGTCAGTAGTACTTCACTTTCTGATTTCCCTCTCCAATTGGCCTGCTGCCATTTATTTTTCAGAGTTTTCAGGTTCAGGGTTTACAGTTGCATTCAGTGAGAGAGACGGAGCAGAATGGGCTCGATCCACATTTTCAAGATCTGGAACTCACTCCTGACAATGTGAATTTGAAGCTATTTCTATTAAGAGGTGCAGTGTATTTCCCCACTTATTAATAATCATGAGGTTCTAGTTGTGAATCTAGGCCTCAAGAGGCCTAATGTGCTTCTGCGAGCTCTTGGATTTCCATCACTGTCATAAGAACGAGTCCAGCCTAGCCTGCTGGAGGGTGACACAC